GAAGTTTATTTCTTGAGGTTTAATGAAAAGTCTAAAAACGGGATCTGAACTTTAATTGATCTATCTCTAGGGGGCAAGGCGCGGTTTTCGTGGCTAAAAAACGACGCTCGATGGAGAAATAATCCCTACGGTTTGCATTTTGATCTCAGAATGGTTCATGGTCACTAAGTCCGTTAAAATACCCGTTAAATGAGGGGTATTTATGTCATTTTACTTTTTTTTCTCATCATAGATTAAATAAACTTAAAACTTTGTAAATCTCACACCGCAAACCACGACACTGACCCCACCATACCCCAACCCTGTCTTGATCTCTTCCGTCTCCAACACAACCCACCCGACTAGAACTTCTTCCTCAACCAGACCCATCTATCCGTGTTGACTTGATCCAATTAGCGGAACTACATATAAATTAGGGATATTGTATTAGATAGGTATTCCACCCATTCAAATTGGTCTAGTAGTCATGTAACACTTCAGTATCGCATTTGCATATAACCATATATTTCATATATCAAGAAATATAATTTACACATCTGATCCTAATACTACAAAAGCTACATTAAAAAGTAGTTATCAAAATTTTCCACAAAATCTCAATACAAAATTTATATACATAACCAGTATTCAAATATATAAGATATCACATCATCCCAAAAGTAATCATATATATTCTTCATACTTTCTCTTTCTCTTATCATTAGACTGTGTACGACATGTAATGCACATTTTGAAATACAAATGAAGGTTAGACCTTGAGGTCTAGTGATAAATCTTTTTGTTTGTTATTACAGGGTGAAAAATCACCAAAACGCTTTTATAAACCCATATTTGTTTAAATAACAAATAAACAACGTTTTAACAAACAAATATCTTTTGTCGCGTCTATAATATGAGACGTCACCAAATTATTGCATCAAATGACCAAATGACTCATTTATCACATTATTAAACCAAAAATAAATTACTTTATTATTAGGCCTAAATTAAATTATAAAAAAAATTGAATTAAATAATTTACACCAAAAAAACGAGAAATATACACTATATTATAAAGAATTTGACAAGAACTCTTAAAAACCATTTTTTATACTTGAAATATTGTTTAATAATGCATATTATTTAAAATTCAAGATTACAAGTAAATTTTGCGTACATATAATTTATTAAAGCTCTATTTTTAAAATTCGTGTAACTAATTGTAGATAAGCATAATAAAATACATAATAAACATCT